TGGATTTAGATACAAGTGAAAAAAAAACATTCCCCAATCTAATACAAAAAATATCAATATCACTAAAGAGCATGAAATAAAAACTTAAAAAAAAATTCAAACTTTAAAAATTAAGGTTATAGCGCATTTATAGTGATTTTATTTTATTAGTTTCCCAAAGCTTATTTTTTTTAAAGATATTTAAATACTCAGTCGAGAGGTGAGCCGCGCTTGTTCGCGTAGATAAAATAAAATAATCGGTGTGTTGTTTGAAGTACTGACATTGACCGATCTACTAAATAAATTAATGGGTTCCGATTAAACAGAAACTACAATTTGTTATCGTATAATTAATCAATTTAAACGTTTGTAAGCGATGAAGGGGGAAAATAACATAAGTAATAATTTTAGAAAGACATTTGTTATTTATGTGACGAGTCTAATTCATTACAAAATCCAAGAGTGCGGCGCTGCTAGACTGACGGAAAAATAATTCATTAAATCAGGGTACCTCTCACGTATGTAAATAATTTTACTTATTGACTGAACGAACATAATCGTATATTTTGTTTGCCAAGCGATACATCGAAAATAAATATTTAACTCAATAAATTGTATGATCACATGCAACTTGAGGCTTGTGTTGTTTGAGCAGTGTGCGTATTTTTAAGTACGTACATTCAACAAATATTTTATAAGTTGTTCAAGCAAATTTCCTGGCTTTCGTACAACATATCGAAATTTTAAAATAAGTAGTTTTTTTGACCGTATGAAAATACGTCCACTAAAAGGTGAAAGTAAGAACAGTTTGAAGACGAAAGGTCGTGGATTTGAGTCCTTTTTTAAGATGCGGGGTGGGATGGTGATTTCTTTAGCTTTGTACCGTTTTTACCTTTTTACCCATTTATACTTAGATAAATATTTTATATTTATCTAGTATAAATGGGGATGTAAAATTGATCAAATATAATAAGTGTAGTGTAGAGTAGCTCGGTGGCGTAGTGGATAAGCACCGCGGCCCGCGATCGTTGTCGTTAAGCAACTTTCGCAAGGGTCGGTCACAGGATGGTTGACCAAAAAAATTATTACCTCGAGCTACTCCGTGCTTAACGTTAAGCCGTTGGTCCCGGTTGCATTTGCAGTCTTTAATACCCTCCAATTCGCATTGGGCCAGCTTGGAGGGTCATGGCTCATCCTCTTTAACAATCTATAAGGCAGGCCTGTGCCCCTGCAGTGGGGACGTAAAAGGGCTGATGATGATGATAATAGGTGAAACTTCAAGTTAAGTAAACATCTTATTTATTATCTTTACACTTAGCACAAAACATTTAACAGCTTTATCTATTTAGGTATACTTAAAAATAATTAACAGACTCCACACTGGGCTTAATTCTGGTGCACAATCTTATAACGGTTTAACTTCAGAATATATTTCATATTGAATGTTAAATGAAACTAACTATCCACCTGAAGAAAATCTGTCATTTTACTACATGAAACACTATAAGCATGGTCTCCTAAGGGCGCTTGTGCACTACACTGAATTTTCATGTCCGGCTAGTAGTAGTAGTAGTATGTCCTAAAAAATTTGTCTCGTTCTATCTCAAAAGAGAAAAAGAGGCAACAAGATTGAGCCCACTGGGTAATAAATAACACAACAAAGGTTTATCGAGAAAAAATAAATGGCAAGATTGGCAAATTCAGACAATGTTATAATTATCATATAATGTTAACTTAAAACAAGTATTCTGCTACAAAAAATATTATGTAAATAGTTTCTTTGTGATATTATTATGTAAAAAAGAAATAAAAAATATAATTGTTTCAAAAAATTAACTAAGCGTGATTTGCTTCAAAAAGTAAAGCAGATAAAAAAGTAATCAAACATAATACAAACCTCTCATATATCATAATAAATTCATTCAGTTATAAGAAACAAAAAATATCGATGGGACCTACATTAATCTGCACTTAAATATTAAAGCTGTAGTTCGTTTAAATTGATGGAATTTATACTTAATGGAACTTTTTCTCTGACTAAAAAATATATATCTGGGAAATGATTGCTCTACTAGTGGGTAGTCCCTATAAACTAGGGGATTTTATTTACTAATTACCCTCGCGGAGGTAAAACTACCATTCTGTGAGGTAAGAGAAAACATATTAATTAAGACCAAATTTTATATGAGTAAGAGGGATGATCGGCAAAATCAACTTAATAGATCAAAGGAGTAACAATCTTAAAAAGGTCGGTCATCTGCCTTCAATAAAACGACATGTGAAGCCGCGAGGAACTGCTAATACTAATAAAACTACAATAGTTTCCAAATACGTTAAGCGTGTGCGTTTTAATTATGATTAGTAATTAGATTAGGCCGTTTGTAAGTTGCTTTTTTTTTCGTTGGTTAATTTATTGTACAGTTTTAGTTATCATTATAAAAACATATACCATTGGAAGACTAGAAGCTTGGACTAAAATTTAACATAAACGGACAAAATGTAAAAATTAAATTAAAGTTATAATAATATGTACAATTCATTAGGAACATAGCTCAAGGGCAGGCTACAAAACAAGTACTTCGCCCTTTTCCGTCGCTCTATCCTTTTCTTTCGCTCATCAACCCTGGGATTCTGTAAAAATCCAAACCCGAATTCACTCAGGTCTCCGAATTCACTTCAAAAAGCAGCATCCTGAGCGGATGCTGGTAAAAATCTCAAATTGGTAATAACGTTTCATGTCATAAGTGAGTTTAGAAACGACGTACGAATAGAATATCTGGTACACTGCTAACTTCACGTAGGTGACCATTACACGATTGAAATACATTCATTAAACCAAACAATTTTGAATTACCAATTCTATCTTTCTACATGGATTCACCAAAAACAACACAATCTTCTGTAGCCTCGAGGATTCCGCGGCATGCTATCGCACACCCCGTACCTATCTAGATCTAGCAAATAGCGGTTGTGAGCGACAGAAAAGCATAGGGCGACGAATATTAGCGATGCCAAGCGGCCAGATGTAATTCAACCCTAAAATGAAACTAATTGGCTAGCAGACGACACATTAATGGAAATAGGTAATTATTACCAGTATTGTTTGCTTAGATCATTAGTGATAAAGAGTAAAGTTAAATAACTTACATATAATATTATAATTATACACTTTATAAACTACATACGCTTACCAATATTCACTCAACCGAAGTCTAAACAACCGACATGTTTCATCACAAGGGCAGGGTTTCACAACTGTTGGCATATCTCTAAATTATACATCAACTAAATTAAGTACTAAAACGAGAAGTATAGTGTTTGAATTAAGAATGTTTATGTACATTCTGCGTCATATTTCTAATCAACCTCAACGTCATAGTATACTATAACAAATACGTGTCTTTTATAATAGATGTCATTTTAATACCGCAAAAATATAGCCGATTTAATTGAATGAAAGAGATGAAATATGAAGGCGGTTATATTTTTGTCACCGTCTATTTCGAACCTGGTATAATAATGAGAGAATTATACATAAAACTATGAATAAATCTGTGGAACACATGTCTAATGTGTCGAATAAATCAGTATAGGAACAGTACAAAACCCAATTTATTTTTACTGATACATATGAAATATATAATACATGATGATACATTAATTATAATGAATGATATAGATCACTTTCTTGGCTTTATTCTTTCAATATCTGCCCCGATATGTTTCATTTCAATCAACAGAACATAGTTGACGTGTCAGTTATTAATTAATAGGGTAAGTATATTAATGTGATAATCGATAAAGAAATGACCGACCAATGAAAATGAGCCACAGAAATCGTCCATTCCAAACAGGTGGACCACTTTTAACAATTTTTTATGTAACCAATGGTGTCAACTGGTAATTTTCTCTCAGCCAGTTGCACAAACGTCCATTAACATTTCCATTAGTTTAAAGCGACATTACCCATACAAATTTGACATTCATTAAAGCTTAACGGCGTCATTAAACCTTAATGGACGTTTGTGCAACTGACCGTTAGTCACTTAAATTTTAATAATCAGTTGGTATTGACCAATTAATTGGTCAACGTATTTTGCAAATTTGATGTTAATTTTTTAGATAACGAACCATGAACTTTTTTTTTAAGTTTAATTATTATACATATATTATTGGTACTTTCCTTGCGGACCGATATGCATATACCTTCAATCATAAAAGCTCAATCTCAGTTTTTTGGCACATTCTGTCCAGGCATATTTCTACATTCATTAATACGTAATCATAATTACAAATAATATTGTTAAATATTTAAATCTGTCATCCTGACTCGGGACGTATATTTACTATAATGACACCGATTTGAAGACTTTTATTATCACTACATACATAATAATAGATAAATAAAGGTTCGTTTACATGTACACACATCGAGTGCACCAGACACGTTCCGACATATACAAAATGATACGAGTATTATTCTATACAGTGTCTTTAACGTATGTATGTCTAAAGCAGTGGTTCTTAACCGGTGGTTCGCGGACCATTCGTGTTCCATGGAAGCATCCCAAATCGTCCGCGGAGTGACATAAAATTATTATTATATATAAATACTCAATGTTCTATGCGTATTTTATTCGTAGATTCACATCACTACTGGAAAGCAAACACGCAGTAGCCCGCAAATCCGAAATACATAAATATCACATGTATGATCTTCAAAGCATATATATGATATCCTTTAATCTATTAATACGGAATGATTGATATATTTTTTTAAAGTAATTCTGCTCTGAAGAATGTTTGGTTTTCGGGTTATAACTTGTATGATTTGTAGCATCGATATAGACTAATGGCACCTTAATATTATATCGATGGTTTTTTTGTACCCGAGAAAAATATAAGCCATGGTACGGTCGAAAATGGCCCCTAATGACTAAAGGGTTAAGAACCACTGGTTACACCATCACCCGTGTCAGTGCCGGTCGCTATTATTAATTAGTTTTTTTTAATGATTTTTAACTACTGGAACGTTAAGCCGAGTAAAAATAAAATAGGTAATTATTTCTCTGTCGACGGTACAAGTTGACATGCTTATGATTTCATCTAGTAACTGGTTAGTAGATAAACGAACCCTAGATCGTAACGGTCTCGGGCATGAAATATACATATATATTTTAGACCGTCAACCAAAAAGGTTACGAAACACTGATCTAAATGATAAACTTGCAACAAACTTTAAATATGTATATGTTTAAATAATGTTATATCAGAGGCTCACAACTCCTCTTGAATTTATTATTATTTACATTTTTATCTAAATATTGTTTACTTTGATATATGTATAGTTGAGCTCTTTTTAATTTCTATAATTTGATTTAAAGCGGTTTTATATATTTTCAATAAATATTGTCCATAACCCATTTTGTTTCAAGACAAATTTTAGGATGTCTTCATTATACAATTTAATGTAAAATTTGCAGTTCGGCACGTAAAAGTATTTATAAGTTCAAATCTCAGGGTAGATGGGTATTTTCCACTCATTGTATCGTAATAATAAAATATTAATCTTATAACTGCTAGAATAAGGATTAAAATATGTTTAAGCTTTATTTTTTGCTAATTATCTACATTTAGTTAGCTTAATAATTTAATCCCTTAATATCAGACCTTGTCTAGAAATGGCAAATTCGGACGCGATTCCCATTGTAACAAACGCTTTATACAACAAGTAATTTATAACGAAACGCGTATTATACGTGCGTAGTTCAGGGCGGGGTCTAAGGGTACTTTGATTTTGTTTAGTATAATGACATATTAATCATCAACACTTATAATATAAAATAACATTAAACAATCCAACGCCTGATATGATATTTTTTTTACATACATAAAGTAAGGTGAATGTCGACTTTGTACGCATACGTCATAATCCGTACTTTAATAGAGAGCCACTATACAGTGATCGTCACTCAGCAAATCCGTTGCGTACACAGTGAACATTCACCTTAAGAATGGAAATATATAATGTTATATTTGTATCATGATTATACTCATAGAATTCCAGACAATTGCGCTGAATGGACTATCATAAATTTTATGTTGTCGTTTACCATTATTCGAGATGCTAAATATTAATAAAATATATGTGCACTGATAACATTTTTTTCCTGTATATACCATTTCACCGTTCGTTGCTAATGGCTGTAAGGACGAAAGTTTTTCTAGGCGAACTTTGATTAACCTACTAAACGTGGCGCCGTATGTAAATTGCATTGAAACATGGCCACCCACAGTCTGACACACGCCCAACTTAGTTTCAGTCTATGTTGTTATATCTCCTAGTAGTATTAGTTCGTTTACTTTGATAATCTGCGACAATGTTGAAAACTCTGTCTCGTGCGATCCGTATAGCTTTGTACATCTCAGGGGTATACGGATCGAAGTTCTTTATCTTCTTTTTTCTTCTATATATTCCCTCTTTCAGAGATATAGCGCAGTTCATCTCGGCCTGAAATATACATTGTCTACATATTGGATATCCATATTATCTGATACGTATAAATGAGCAATTCTTCTATAATTATATATAATAATTGGATTCTCGGAAATGGCTCCTACGATTTTTATGAAATTTCGTATACAGGGGTCTTTGGGTGAGAAAAACCGATTTAGATAGTTTATTATTATTAGCTTATTACTACAGGCCTTCCACATATCGGAATCACCACATGGGGCCAGTGCGGAATGGTAGGTATTAACAACTGCTTATGTAGCCGGGACAAACGGTTTAACGTGTCATCATGCGCACATGAATCTGGAAATAATAAATCTTCAACAGTCTTTACGAATGTTGCTTAAACTTTACATCGCAAAGCGATTGCGCTTACCACGGCGCCATCCACCTCCTCAACTTCTAGTGATAACCAACATCCAGTTTTAAATATGTATGATTAACACATGATTTTATAATAAAAATTGGATTTGACGAAGCCCTGTTTACTATATATTTTAAATAAATAATTAATAAATATTAAACAACATCACATACGTTGCTTGGAAGCCAAGATAAGTAGCTAAAGACCTTGAATTATGTCTGTACCAACAACAGCCAGACCCGAGTCAATTTTCTAGATTGACCAGAACGGAAATCGAACCAGGCACCTCGGCTCTTACCTCCGAGACTGTACGATTGAGGAAGTCCAGCACACCTTGCAGAGTGCTCCTGGTGTCACTGACCAGAGTCTCGTAGAAGACCACGTGCACAGGCCCCGGGAACCTCGTTAGCCATAGTCTGTGCAACGATTCCCACGCCGTCAGCTGACTAGCCACGTAGTACGACCAATCTGAACAACAGAAATGTATTCGCGTCAAAAAAAAAATACAGGTTTAATTAAAACAGTTTAATAAAATCTGTAACCATCTTTGCTGGCCATGATTTTCATCTAATGATTTGAGTCTGTCTTTGAATAAAGTTTCATGAATTCGTAAGTCATTTTTGTGGATTTTATCTTTTTTTTTCTTGAAAAAGGTTCTTGTTTCAAAATAAAATCTTTTTTAATGACGACGATATTGTTCGTCAATATAAAATACCACCAAAAACATTATCATGTAAAATGTCGCCAAGACGAGACCATATGGCTCACACTAGCAAAAAGTTTTCAGATCTCATGTAGTGCCAAGCTTCTGGCTCTACACGCCATAAGTTTACAAATCCTAAATTTACAATTTACACCTCAGCAAAGCAGCCAAGAAACATGTTTGACTAAGGTGTAAAGTTTGCAAAGGTAGAGTTCGAAAAATTATATATATTTATATATTATAAAAGCATGGAGAAGTAATCATTAGCCTGCCTGCCATAATAGTACTCCATTACAGTGGAAGACGAACAACATTCTTTCCCGTATATAGTATTAGTAAGTGGTAATAGGTAAGTATGGATTATAAACCTTGTTACACATATTGTTTAAATTGGTAATTAAAAAATACCTATACAAATATGATCGTACTAGTGTTAAATTAAGTTTCTATGTGAATACCCATAAAAAATTCCATATCTTTTTTAAAGAATGGGGGTGATGTGCGAAAAATTATAAAATACGCATTTTATAATTTACATCAAGAATATTACTCCGTCATAACTAACACTTGTGGTTGTTTGTTTCAATTGTAAAAATATGTGGACGTTGAAATACAAATATACAAACTGTGCTGTATACAAACGTGCGATGAGCTGTGTCATCAACTTGCAAATAAACTTCTTTACACAATAACATATTGTAATAATACATTCTAATACTTGGTTTTTGAAGTCCGGCCATGTTGAATTTCTATTAGGTTTAAAAGAAACAATTTTTATAAATATAAATAAAAAATCGGATACATTATAAGTTGAACGTAGATTTGTTAATGAATTTATTAATTACTAGCTTTCGCCAGCGGCTTCGCCCGCGTGGACTCTAGGGAAATGTTTAGTGGGATAAAAAGTATCCTATTATCTAAGTCAACTTATACCCTATCTGTATACCAAATTTCATCAAAATCCGTTCAGTAGTTTCGGCGTGATTGACCGACAAACATCCAAACAAAGAAATTTTCACATTTATAATATTAATAGGATATTTTATAATATTTTGAAGAAATTGAGTTGACGCGGTCAACAATCAGATAAAAAAAAAACTAAAACGTGTTTGGTTAAAAGTTAAATTAAAGATTATTCGTCTAATAGTTTTCTTAAATTATGAAATCTGTCTCTCACGTCAAGCGAAATACCAATCAGATAATCATTTTTGGGTTTGTTAATAAAACTATCTAGGAAAGCGAAGGAAACTATTAAAATTTACAGTTTTAGGTACATACCTAATAAGACTTATTTATATAAAATAATATTTGTCGTGGGAATAGTTGAGGGTTTTTTTAAAGCTATCCGTTTCCTTAATATCTATTCAATGATGACGGAAACACTTTGGTTTTGTCTCAGAGACAGTCAGTTGGCAAAACAATAAGACCTACAATGTAAACAAAACTTACTATCGACCTACATACAACCTACCTACTTATATCTATTCTATTTTTTTTGTATTGAATAGTCTTCGAAACTACTGGACTTCGAAAAAGTTGCATTATTCACGGGTGATGTAGGTTTTAATCTTTATACTTTTTTTTTGTGACTTAAATGTAGTAATAGGCTAGTGACACGGCACATATAGATACGTAAAAAATTATAATGTATAGGCACATACCTGATTCTTCTCGATTATACGATTTTTTCTTGAAAGCTGATTTTGGGGCAGTTCCTATGTGACCTTTGTGGACTCTATTGAAGTCAGCCTGTCGAAACGTAACAATAGAGCGAGTTATTTATAGGAATTATATTTGATAAATTTTCTCAGACTAACTGGGCCAAGTGTATTTGTTAAACATTTTTCATTAAGAATATTTATAGGATTTTTTAAAATATGGTCCCTCACCTGAAGCATTTGTCTGTGATGTAATATTTCAAATTCGATTTTGAGCATTAAGTACATACGGCTGCACGTCACGTTACCACAATAGCAGCCAATTGCACAAACGTCCATTTAAAATACCATTAGACTAAAGCGTCATTACCAATACAATTATTTGGTATGGATATGGATAATAGTTTGGTATGGAGTTGGCAAGTAGCAAACGCGGACGCGGCATTACAATAACCTGACTAACTTGGGCGTTTAACTTGTATCTAATATTATTATCGAGTATTCTCTTTCCGCTAATGTAATATTCGAATCTGTAATCACATTCATCATCATCATCATCAGGCGTTTTACGTCCCCACTGCAGGGGCTCAGGCCTTCCTTATGGATGGTTAAGGAGAATGGGCGATGACGCTCCACGCTGGCCCAATGCGGATTGGAGAGTATTAACATCTGCAAATGCAGCCGGGACCAACGGCTTAACGTGCCTTCTGAAGCACAGAGTAGCTCGAGATAATTTTTTGGTCACCCATCCCGTGGCCGACCCTTGCGAAATTTGCTCAACGACAACGATCGCGGGCCGCGGCGCTTATCTACTACCACCGAGCTACTCAGTGGACTGTAATCAGATTGCGAAATGTCAATACTCGACGAGCTCAATAGCGCATAGGTTAACTCGTTAGGTTTTCTATGCGTTAAAATTTGTTTTTTTTTAACGTGACCAAAAGTTTACTGTCTCGAACTTCGCCGTGCTTCGGAAGGCACGGTAATCTGCACAGGGCCTGCGTGTTGGACCATGGCCGTTCGATTCCATTAATATTAAAAGTCTGTGCCTAAGTAGTGGGGATATCGGATATAATGGACTGGTAATGATGATGAATTTTCGATTAGTCTCCCTCACTGATGTAGCGTTCAATAATATGGTTTAAGTCTAACGTTACATTACAGACAAATGCTTCAGGTGAGGGGCTTTTGAGAAATGAAATAAACTGTCTGTTATGGCAAATAATACTTAAAATTGATTGTCTTAAATAAATATACTGCAACTATGCATGTATCGATCTAATGATTGATAATGAAACAAAGAAAAATGTCAAAATAATATAAAAAATAATAATTACCAAATCAACATGTATACTTCTGGAAGAAACCATAAATTACTTAAACAGTTGGCAGCAGTGCAGATAAGCTGAAACTATACACATCGATAATAAGCATAAAAATGTTAAACTCAGATACAATGTTAACAACGATTTACTGTAATACACACAAACAAACAAATCATTCACTATTCAGGGAGTCTACTGCGTAACTTCATTAATATAATTGATACGAATTTCTGATAAATCGTGTTCGAAATCCGTTTTCGCAAGTTATTTTTTTAACGTGTCAATTCTTTCAAGATAAATTTGACCTACTTCCCGCTTTTGCATTAATTTATGAATTAGATGACAATGCAATGCTATTATTAGGAACCTCTGTAATCGAAACAAACCTGCTTCGGTTCGAAAAGAGAATGGAAATCGAATTTGGGCTCGTTTGATTTGTCTCGGACATTTGGCCGAGATTATATCCGGAGTTTGATGATGGAAAGTCGGAAACCTAGAAGGTTTGTAATTAAACAATGCAACTTTGTTGTGTTTGAGTTCATTTGATTTGTTTATACAAGATCCTTGGTCCAAAAAATTAAATAAAAGCTTTTAAAAAGATATCTTTAATTTTCAATTATTCCAATCCCAGTCGCAGATCATTTGTATGGATTTATTTAGGCGGTAAACACTCTGGTGTTGGACAAATCCATAGAACATATAGATATTACAAGCATCTTGGGGGCACTACCTCTAAGATAGTTCCCATTTTTATCCAATATGCATTTGTAATTAGAGAGCTCATATGTATTTTATTGCAAAAACTGTGGTGGAAATTTTAACAACTTTGTGTTCTATGATTAAATCGTTTACAAAGTAGTTTTAATGTATTAGGCAGTGTTTCTCAACCTACGGGCCACGGTCCCCTGGGGGTCAGCAAAAACCGCAAAGATTTAGGTGCACATAATCAACACAACCTTCCAGAATCACTTCTTTATGTGCGGTTTAATAAGAAAAAAAAATGTAAATTCTTTATTTTTTATTAAGTGGAGGCGGAGGTGGTCTTGTGAGCTTTTGCTATACGCCCTAAAGGTCTGTGAAAAGGTTAGAAAACACTGTATTAAGGTAAGAAATTATTAATCTTGTACACATGCACTATCAAGGGCCGATCTAGGGGTTGCAAGGACAGGGTCATTACAATATATATTTTGTAATGTAAATTAATTCATTTAATAAAATACATATGTAATTAGCAGTGGTCGGAATTAGGTAGAGTTATTCATGTACTTACACTGATTTCATACAGCGAAAGAATAAAGTGGATATGCCTCAAATCCCGAGATTAATTTTAAAGAGCAGAAAAAATCCCGTGATTTTTTAAATAAAAAGTTATTTACTTTTACACAATTTAAACTACTGCACGCACGATGTTGCCAAACTTACATCAATGAAAAAAAGAAATAAAGAAAGAAGAAATAAAGAAATCCCGGGAAGGTCCACATTAATATCAACATTTCGATGCAAGTACATAAATAACTCTACCTAATTCCGACCTCTGGTAATTAGTCTTCGTAAAAGCATGCGAAATGTAGTTTTTTTTTTATTAAAATGTTATATTTGCGACCTCTGACTCCCGGCACGATCAACCCTTGGGCTTCACAATGTTATAATGGTAAAAATACTGAACCTAAACAATAATACTACAAAAAAATACAGTGTTGCTATTTGACCTGAAAATAACTTAAGATATATTTGTAGTTATTATAATTTTTAATTTCTAATTTTAAATAATGGGTTGGGGTACAAGTTTTGCATTTTGTTTGACAATTCAGCGACGTGAGCGTCGTGAATCTTTGGCATAAAAATTGATGGGCTGAACTCGCTTAAACCAAATTTGTGCTATTCTCACAGAAACTGCACTAGGTCCATATAACAATTTTTTCACGGCTTTTCAAGCTTTTAATGACAAGGAAACCAGGCAGATATGAATGATTACAAGTTTATGCATACTTAAGCAAAAATACTTTTCCCTATTGTGAAAAGTGTGTATATAATACTTATAATAGCTGCCAGTTAAAATTTTTCATTATATTAAGTTGGGGAAAAGTAATTTATTCTTGTATTCAAAGGAAAGCATTTAATGCGTTTTATTTTTTAAGCTTTAGTTTTACACACAATTCTTCAAGATATAAAATCAAATGATATGTTTTAAATAATCTGATATAAGCTTATTGATATATTCTTAATTAAAAAATCTTATAAAATGATCTTTGTTCCAAAGGTACTTGACACCATCTCAACCCATGACCTTTTGCAATCTGGGTGACTGCTCTCACCATAGAGCTACCTACGACCTTACAGGACTAATAAATATTTCAAGCACTTGTTTTCTTTTTCACTACTAATGAGCATATTTTCATCAATGTTCAGGCAATCCACATAAACAGCCGTAAGATTTTTTTTACATATATTTTGAATTTTCCATCAAAATGTACATTTGTTCTAATCATTATTGGATTATCTAAAATGACAATAAACAAGCAACATGTTTGTTCTATATAAATAAAAGTATTGTCTTCTATTAAAAGTTTTTTTTTGTGAAATTTATTAATATTTGATAAAAACAATGCCTTGGCATTTAACAAATTTCACTGCTTTCATTATTACCTCAAAGTACAATACTTATTATCCAAAACATTTTATTCTTTCACTGTATATAAAATGTAATATTTCTTACTGTTAGTTGCACAGTTGACAGCACTACAAAAGAGCAAATTACTGTATTTTAAACTTTAATCTGCCAGTTGTTAAGTACAAAATTAATAGTAGAATTTTTGTAATATGATGCATGTATCTTATTGTTATCCAAAAAAGAAATTAATCAGTTAAAAAACAGCAGCACAACTAATTTTGTATGTACAAGATATATAATATAGTAATGGATAATAATAAAACTTTGTATATTTATTTGTTTATTCACAGATTAAAATACATAATAAAATAATATAGGAGAATTCACTGTTATTGATAGGAATACTTTGTAAAAAAATCTGTAGCTTACCAGTATTGCATCCTTGGGGTTTCTTATCAACAGCAGTGCCGATTTAAACTTGTTTGGGCTTATCGGAGGTGCCTCGTGTGTTTTAACTACTAATACTGAACCATCAGTAACATTTTCAGCAGGAAATCCATGGACTCTTAGCCCATAGTCCATGTATATCGACCCTGTGACAATACCTACAAACATGAAAAAAACAGTTTATTGCTTTTAAGCTTTTAAATAAGGAAGGCATGGCCAAGATGGGGTTCAAATTTAAAAATCTTTTGAAACTGAGGCAACTGCACTAATCAACGGGGATGGATATCATTCTATACATTTAATTGTGAAAAAAAAATTCCTATACATTAAATTGTGTAACACAGTAGTATATCAATCAACTAACAAGATTATGCAATCAAATGGGACTTATTATTAGAAAAATACTTCATGAAAACTTCCATCACAAACTAGCACCAAAAACCCTTAGTTCTAATGTAATATTTTGATGGATTTTTTTAATAACATTATTTATTGGCATTACAGGCTACCTATGTTTAGATTAATTACCCAAATAAAAACTTTAATAATAAAAACATAAAAAATTTTGAATTTCCATATTAAGGATTGAAAAGCATATTGAATTAAGCAAAGCTTAAAGTTGTACACATATTAACAACAAAATTTTACTCAATTAGACTTTCAGCAATCAATCTTTATTAAAAAATATTATACCTGTAGCTTGCTGGAGCAAATATCGTAGCCATGTATTTCCACTTCCAGGAAAAGACGCCAGTGCCACCACGTAAGGCGATGGTGGTGATCTCCATTGCAAACCTTGACACCAATGTAAAGCTGGCAGTTGCCTATACGCAAAACTATTTATAGAACCGTGTTCATAGAAGGAATCTTTGACTCCGTGTAAAGGACTTAGCATGAAGATTATTATAGAGAAATATATCATTACGATAGCTGCCGCCAGCAAAAAGAGATATCTCCGAGACATGTTTAACAAAGTTTAATCTTCCATTATGTAAGCAAACATTTTATTCATAGTTAACATTGATATTTCATCGTCGCTCATTTACTACGTTAAAAACATATTTAGAGCGGTTCGAGGTTTAAACAAATCCAGTGAGTCTACTTATAGACATTAAAATATTTTTATTTGCTAGTATTTCATTTTCTTTTCCATGTTACATTAGAAGCTATATGAAATTGCTTTACTATCAAATCAATCAATGAATGAATAAATATCTCAAATAAAACTGAAACCTAAAACACTAGCTAAACAAACAAACTTAGGGATTCCAGTCTCGAACCGATTTTAATGAAAATCGATATTTTTGAATTTGAACTTCGATTTTTTGGGTTGATTTTATGGCCCCTGATCAATCTATCTTTATTATTATCTACAAAAATTTTATCTTTTATTTTCATTAACTTAGAAAACAATGGCATAATCTGTTTGCAAAGATAGACTCTTTCTATTATTGTATAGGATTTTTGCCTGCCTGATTAATCTAATCCGAGGGTTGACTTTTGTAAGTAGATTATGCTTGTTTACCGATTATTGAATGGGGTCACCACTTTAACGAAATATTTTGGGTATTTATTTATTATATATAGGTTGATATTTAACTTATTGGTAAGTTTACTCTCTGACTCTATTTATACGAATGGTCGGTAAAATGAATAAACGTGTTCACAGTTATGAGTTTACTTTCAGACTATTTGATGTTGAAGTGCCACTAACAAAATACAAATGTCACAGATTACGTTGCCACAGAGAAGTCGATAAAGATTATAAAAAAGATGTGCCACACTTGTAGTCTTCTTGTTATGTAAGAAAGTTGGTTTATAAAGTTTGTAATACATTGAAAAGAATATCCCTGATTTCTCAATATTAATTTAAAATTATAAAGTTCTAAATTTTTTTTTTAAAGGAAGACACTCATCAATGAATCTTCCTTTTGCATTAGTCATGTCTGAATTTCATTAAATTTATTTACTATGCGACATCAAAAACCATAGTTTAATAATTTAACTGAACGGTACAACATAAACTTACAATTTTTTTCCATGTACTCCAGATTCGTACTCGTACGTTTATTGCACGTTTAGCAACTTGCATGTCAATTATCGCATAATGCATTTACGGCATGTTTCTTTAAGTGTTGTGTATATATACAAACTTTTTGAACACAGTAACTCGGTGACGTATTGGATAAGCGCCGCGGTCCGCGATCGTAGTCGTTAAGCAACTTTCGCAAGGGTCGGTCGTGACCGACATCCCGTGGGATGGGTGACCAAAAACTTATTATCTCGAGCTACTCCGTGCTTCGGAGGCACGTTAAGCTATTGGTCCCGGCTGCATTTGCAGTCGTTAATACCCTCCAATCCACATTGGGCCAGCGAGGAGAGTCATGGCCTATCCTCCTTAACCATCCATAAGGGAGGCCTGAGCCCCTGCAGTGGGGACGTAAAAGGGCTGGTGATGATGATGGTGATAATTTGTACTTATTAATTCATGGGTTATTTAATCTCACTAGTTTGTCAATGAAATGTCGTTTCATTTTAGTTTTTATGTTTTTTTTTAAGTTTTATAAATTTATTATATTATACTATACGTGAGGGTACTTGATACTTTAGAATAAGTTTTCCATACATATTTGTATAATAATTTGGTACTAAAAACTTTGGATTTAATACTTGACTAGTGGCTTTTGAATATGAACGAATAACTTTAAGTACGTTTTTATTATAATTTTCCATTATCAGCTAATATTTTATTTTATTATATATAGGTAATAAATTGCAATAGTAAAAGAGATCCAAGGGGTCATTTGAGAAGTTTTCCTGGATATCATAAGGAACAATACTTTTCAATATACGTAACTGAAATTCGTATATTTTTTTTGAGGTTTGTCCTGTAAGTGCACCCGTAACTACTTAGGCCGTAAGATAAAATTTCGATATAAAGTGTTAACAACATTATATAAAGCACTTTAATCCTAATGAGACAAAACTTTGTCAGAATAGCTCTTAGTTTATCGCAAACAGTTTCAATATAGTTCGTCCATTTCAAACAATCTTCAGTACTACACGTAGGTATCTGGAATGTCTACTATTTGAATATGAGGACAATTACTGTCAGAATACGGCAGAATGTGAAGTCAGTCATAATTATGGACTGACAGTGATATTGTGTCCTTTTATCTATTCCAACCCGAACTTACATACATCGCTTTAGTTTTGTTTGCATTTAGTTTCATCAGTATGACAACACTGCCGGAAAACCAATACAGGCCATGGTCATCTTTGTCGGAACGCTTGGTAGGTAACTAATAAGGATGACTCGCCTCGATGCCCCTGAACACAAATTGACCAAGGTCACCTGCCCTCTTATTCTGTAACTCTGGCAACTTTTGAGGACATCTTAAATAAATTTGTGGCTACACCACCAGTAAGACAGTAATAAGGCTACATCAGTTAATGGAAAATTTATTTGTATATCCGCCAATGAAATAAGGAGCTCTTAAAAGAACTACTTCAACGTCACTGTCCGTATGAAACAAAGGAGAAAGCAACGCAACAAGTGCGTGTCAACAGCTGCGCGCCACATGTCAACCGTCCGCGGCGCAGTCACCCGCACGCTCACCCGACGCCTGGCAAAAAGGATCTCGTTAACTCTATGCCAGCCTTTATACGCCACGTCACACGGACCCTCGCCCCGCATCTCAGTCCCTTTCCCTTTCCTCTCGGCACTTTCCCCTTCCATTGTAAATGTTGTAGCTTTCTTGTAATTGGGTTAAAATGTACATTTCTCATTGGTTAAGTTTGTATTTATAATTTTAAGGAATTTCTATTGGTTAATATTATATAACATATTAGTATAAGTAGCTGTAAGATTTGTAAATAAAACATTCCATCCTTCCACCTTCTACGGAGTTTTACTACCCGACGACAAGCAAGCCTACGACCCGATCTGAGTTGCCAAAAATTGTTCAAAAAGCTCGGTATTCTATAACTAATTGTTCATGAATCCCTTATTTATTGCATTTAGTTGCTTTTTAAAATTTAATTTATTAAACAGTTTATCGATATAAGATCAAATGTCAAATTACAGTTCAGTGGAGATCACCGATATCGACATTTCAAAATAGCACTTTATTTAACCCATTGAATACGAATAAGTGATTTTAAAATCTTTGAACATATTACACCATTCCAAAATTTAGGTTTTATATATATATTTAGCTGTTAAAAAATTATATTTGTTCAGAATTGTAGGCTGAATAGGAAATATTTGCTGTCTATAAGTTGCTGACAAACTAGCATTTTACCTAATCGATCGATAACAATTTTGCGTTCAAAGATACGAATATTATATTATTAAAAATAGCACGACTTTCAAACAAAATCGAGAACATGCTATAATGGCACTATTTCCGATTAACTTTGTTTTACCTGTTACCCGATACACTTATTAACTATTCCCTTATTGATTAAGTATTTCTAACTCTGGCTTAGTTTAAAAAACTGTAGATAATAAAGCAAAGTGTAGATTGTGCTGCGTAGGTGTACTGCGTAGAATAGCGCTCTCAAGTTTCTGTAGCTGTACCGAGACAGTATAACCCTATTCAAAAGCAAATAAATTATTATTTTTATTATTCAATCAAAATTTAATATTAAACAGATATTTATATTATGTGAACTACTACTATAGTACCATCCATTAAATAGCAAATATGTAAAGTTCAAAATACCATCTCATCCTTATATTTTCTCATTCAACAAATATCGATATATCAGAAAAAAATCGATATTATTTCGAAAAATGTATGTATACCTATTTATTTACAAAATAATAACACCCCTACTGGAAAGTACTTATGGACGGTACATTAAAAGATTTTGAGTGCCCTTCATCGAGTAATGAGGAAGTATTAAAAAAAAGAAAGCACTAAAAAGCACCTCCGCTAGATGGCGACTCTAGCAAAAGTTTATTTTTGCAAGAAACGAATGGACCAAAGATAGTCATTTCCCTTCCTTTTAACTAACATATCAAAAAACTGAAATTTGCAAACTTCTAAGCATAGATATCAATACAAATACGAAAATTTACAAATAAGATGTGGGTTGTTTATTGAGTTGTGAAAACTACTTACTGAGCCGCGTCCTCGCGGTTATATTCGGTTGCGTCACTACCTGAGGTACCGCGTGAAACGAAATTTTTCTTGCGAGCGTTACTTCAAAGTCTCATAACTTTTTTATTTATATAAATATTTAAGATTTATTACAGTCTTTTCTGATTACGCTTATTCTTTAATTTAGAGAAATAAAAAGTTTTACTTTTTCATTTAATAAACTAATAAAATATATATGAACTAGATCCCTTTGTGCTTGTAACAACAACAACAACAGAGATGTCATTGTCAATTGAGAAGCGAGATTTTGCCTTATTTTGCGAATGAAATTATTTTTATTACACATATTTTTTTAATTTGAGACGGTTTACTCACGTTTTATTAAATAATTGGCAAGGTATAGTTGACAGCGTAAGAAACAAGATGACTTCTTCGAAGGACCGCGACGAGCAAGTGGTGTTAGCGCATCAGTGTTACTTGAAAAAAGATTATGCATCAGCGCTCCAACATTTGAATGAATTGGAAGGTCTTGTTGGTACTGGTAACACACGTGTACAACATAATAAAGCTGTGGTTGAGTTCATGGCGAGTGATATGAAAAATTTGGACAAATTAAAAAAGTCTATAAGTGAACTAACAGGGCTAACTCTCCCTGACATTGATGTAAAAGACTTGTCTTCACCATACTTATTGTACAATTACGCTATCATACTGTATCATTCTCGTTATTACTACCAATGCACTGTAATATTAGACAAACTTCTATCATCTAAAACAATCAAGGATGCTAAACTGTTACAACAAGTGGTACTGCTCATGTTAGAAGCTACATTGTGTCGCAGAACTTATGATAAAACCCTTGAAGTAGCAAAAAATCATGGAGAGCCTCTAAAAAGTAATAATGAAGTTAGTGAATTGTTTGAAAGATTAGTAAGTAGAGCTCAAATTTCAATAGGTCAAAAAGTAAAGCTTAATCTGAAGCCTGACTCCATAGAAAATATTTTCATAATTGCACAACAGCAATATTTAAATGGGGATGTTAAAGAAGCTTCTAACACTTTAGGACAGTACAAGTCTCTAAAATACAATTATGATCTGAAATCTCAAGGAGAAGATATTTGGGCTGCTATCAATAATAACTTAGGTGTATTGTATTTATCAATCAAAAAACCATTTCTAGCAGCAAAGTATTTTCAACATGCTGTCAAAGAACATTTTAAAGCTATGGATACTGAAGACAGTGAAAGGATGATTACATGTAAAGATCGTCCACTATATGTATATAATTTAGGACTTGCTTTATTAGCAGCTAATAATGCTGAAGGTGCTTTTGAATGCCTAGTAGAAGCAGCACGTCATTATCCTAACAATCCACGTATTTGGTTACACTTAGCTGAATGTTGTGTGAAAAAATGTTGTAATGAGGAAGCTCTACAATATACTGTGAAAAAATTGGGCAGCGGCCCACATACAAGGATACTGTTGTCAAAAGAAAATAAAGAAAAATATTCAACATCAGGTGAATCATTTGCTATACCATCACTATCTCTGGAATTCGCAGCTTTATGCCTAAGGAATGCTGTGACTTTGCTTCCTACTCAAGAACCACCATCAGATGTGACCGTTCCACTTATCCAAGCACCTCCTGGTCCACCTATCAATTGGAAACAAAGGTGTGAATTGAAGAATGCAACATTAGTGCTGCAAACATATGTATTACTTAATTTACAGGATCCTTTGTCGGCACTTGTGAGTGCAAATGAATTATTAAGTCAGGTTGAGGTCTCAAGTAGCCATAAGGCATGGGCACACATATATGCTGCGGAAGCATTAATAAACTTGGATAGAGTTTCAGATGCTGTGGAACATTTGAACCCACCAATGATTCATAACCTTGTGTCAGTGATGCCATATCAATTGAGAGATATGATTGCAGTCTCAGTATGGGCTAAAGCTGCAGTGTGTCACATTTTGAGAAGAGATCTTATTACAGCTAGAAAGATTCTAATGCAAATCAATTCCCCACGTGTTTTGCCATTGCAAATGTATCTTGAAATATGTACTGGAAATATAGAAAATTGCCATACTATTTTGCGAAAGTTACGTCTTTCGAGTTCCCAATAACCACTAGTAATAAAATTTTTAAAAATACATTATTGTTTAATTAATTAAATGTGAAATAATAAATACATGATAAAAAATATCAAGCAAAACCTAATCTATGCTTTACTTATTTATCAATTGTGTCATACCAATACATATAAATCAAATCTAATTTTAATTTGGACTTGTTTTAATGATGTTTTGTAGTTACATACAAGGAACGAAATGTAATTTATACTCTTCATGGTTATTATTTATTTGATTACTGAATTTGACAATTAAAAATATAGTCTAGTATGTATATGGAACAGTGTTGCTATTAATGTTTTAATAAATAAAAAATGAATATTGATTTTGTTTAAACTGTATTTAATTTAGGTCTGGATATAAGTAGCTTTTTAATTTTTTTGTGGATCTTTCAGCAGGGCGAACACACAGGAGTTTACCAAAGAATGTAACTTTAAATGTCTTTAGGTATAGATCGAAAACACTACTTTGCTTTGGTATTGTGGTAATTACATTATCTTTGGAGATCATTTTAAAAGTGTAACGGGTATCCATTATGCAAATTCCTTTCTTGCCAACATAGCTTGGACATTTTGAACGTACAACTTCCAACATACTACCATGAAAATCAGCTCTATAGAAAGATTGAGTAAAGTTATCCCATCCTTTAGAATAGCATTCAGGGATGCCAGACAATTTTTCAATATCTAAAACATTGAACATATAATCCGACCACATCAAATGCATTGGCAACAAATCTTCATATTTCATACTGTTTCTAGAAATATTATAGAATCCTAAGGCTTTCTTTTCTCTTCTGGTTAAATTTTTGCTCTTCTTTTTCCTCGCTTTTTGTTTAAGATTCTTGCTCTTTTTAATACCTAGAACAAAGTCCTTTTTAAGTTCTGCTTCTACGTTAGCAACTTCGGATTTAGGTACACTAGATTTCAAAAAATTTATAATTGCTTGAGCTGACTCTGTGTTTGTTTTTTCTTCGGTAGACATATTGTATTTAGAAAATTAAATTCCTAAAGTTAAATAATGTCTATTCTAAAAACTTAATGCACCACTGTCCTTGATTTTGTTTTATAGGAAGTTTACAGGCTTTAATAGTTTAATCGTGTTTGGTTATTTATTTAATAATAAACGACAAATATTATTCAATCATATAATATGTCAAAGTGACAGTCACATAGGCATGTGGACCTGAAATCGAAAAATCGATCATTTAGAGTAACATAATAAATTTTTTAGATAGATTCAGAACGCCACATCGATTCTAGAATCGATGCTCGAACCCCTCGAATCGGACCGATTCATTCAATGAGGAAGTATTTAAAAAAAAACATTAGTTCCCGAAATCAAAATAGATGTAGCCCATGCCATGACAACCGTTCCGGTTTTTTTTTTTCAAGTTTATAAGTAATTTAGTTTTCAAAACTCAATAAATAACTCATATTATTTTTGTACTTTTTCGTATTTGCATTGATATCTAAGTTTCGGACTTTTCAAATTTCAGTTTTTTAATATGTTAGTTAAGATGACTGTCCATTTGTTTCCTGCAATAATCAACTTTTGCTAGAGTCGCCATCGAGTGGTGGTGCTTTTTTTTCTTAATTGAATGTTTTTAATAGAGAAGAAGGCTGGAATATAGCATGGACTTCGGATTCAGCAATTAGTCAAATAAAATCACAACCCAGATCACATACTGCAAACCTAAAGTTGAGTGCGGTTCTTGCCGGAGTTCGTTTCGTTAGTTTATCGCAGATAAGACTCCCAAACCTGTGAACTGATGGTGGCAAGGGCATACTCAGCATTTAAGCTAGGGGGGCGGGGGGCAGCTCAAACTGTTTCGAGAAGATGGTGGGTCGGGTCGACTTTTATTAATTAGTTTGATTATAACACAAAAAAAAATATTATATATATAATAATCGTAATATATGTATAGATATATTCATATATATATCGTAATCTTCTCGGATTTGCCGAAAAGAACAATGGCCATCTGCCTAACATGGTTGGACTAGTAAAATCGAATAAAACGTAACTAGAACAAATAAGTCATTAAATATATTTTTAAAAGCTGGGAGTATCGAGTAATTGTGTAATATGTTTTTGAGGTTATGTCGTATTATTTAAATAGGGTATTTGACACTTTTCTGAAAACTATTTTAAATCGTTGTTTGCTACATTATAAACACACTGTCATAATATTTCATTGGAATCTTTTCTATTTTTGGTAAAAATAATTGTTAAATTTTAAATAGCCAAAAGCGCGCGAAAAACGCTTCTCTATGTAATGGCGCTGATCGTCACGTCATAGGCCAGTAAATATCAGAGAGTAAATATGGCAAATCGATAAGTCACAACTGTCTTTAGAGTAAATTAAGGATGATCGATGTTGACATCGAAGTCAACATTCGATGAAAACTATCGATGTTCCCTAAACATCGATTGCGTTGCTGTTGAAGGAATTGACCAGCTTTAGAAAAAAGCCTCTCTGAAGCCGTGGAAGTCGCTGTGCAACATAAATATTTTAATGCAATCTTTTTTAATGTGGGATAGGTGGATTCTACCCCTTAACATAAAAGTAATGGAATAAGACAAGTAATATAAAAAATCACGCGGGAGTTTCACGGAGAGAGAACGAGCATAAAGTTACTTTTTTTAAATACATAAATGACCTTTTTCCGTTTTACACAGAAATTTTGCGGGATAGTGAGAAACGATTTTTAATAGTTTTCTTCCTCCCTTGTTCTAAAAGTACAACACAAAGCAAACGTCACAAATTGCACTAATAAATTAAATAAAAAATATCGCATTAAATATATCATAGTGCCATGTAGATTATAGTGTATTGTTATATTTTTTAATATGCTAACAAGACGCAAAAAGATAGGTATGTTAGAAATAGACAAAATAGTATTAAGGTTAATGGGACGGGGGGTTTTAGATGGAAGTTGCTCATATGAAGTAGGTATTTTCAGACAGTTGAAGAGGATGGGATCAGTGGTACCTTTATCGATTCCGCACTCGCACGTGAAACTATCTAATGTACGGATCTTTGAAACTAAGACCGGTGAATAAAGAAACTTATAAGACACCAACGAGCGCTGAAGTTGACAGATTTATTTCTAATTTCCTAGGAAAATGCAAGCAAAGAAAAAACTATTTGTTTGCGTACTCCAGTTACGAGGGCAACCGGTGACATCTAGTATAAAATAGTTGAACATGATAAACGAGATCATCTAGCTAGTGTTTTATTTTATTCAGTAGTATTTTATTATATTTCATTTTATTCATAAACATCGATGTTTGGCACGAAAACATCGATGTGCCCATGTTATCCAATTTAAAACATCAATGTTTATTCAACATTACATTCAACATAACAACAATATTGATCATCCCTAGAGTAAATTGAAATAATAATTTAAAAGAGAAATGTAAGTCGTAGTGCGTATTTTTTACGTTTTTATTTTCCTCTGCTCTGGTTTTCTTTAAAAAGTGAGCTACAAGTGGTGCGTAGTGCCACAATGTACTAATACTTCTATAAATAACAAACAAACTTCGAGTCTAGAAGAAAATAGATTCACAATCACAAAAGTATAGTAGCTATATAGAGTAGAGATAGTAATAAAATTAGGTAAGGATTCGCTAAAAGTATTGAAACTTTTCTATTTCATATTGATTCATTTGAAGGTTTTCTTTTTTGTTTTTTTCTTTGTCATTATCATTTTACGACTCATTTATATTTGTTGACAGGGCTCGCACTTTACAGCCTGTCGACCTACAGATGGATGAGACATTAGTACGAAAAATAATATTCTATTTTTTTATACATGGATGTAGTATGTCTATCGAATAAATGCATGGCATTTGATAATTAGATATCAGATACCGATGATTTTGTAAATAAGTTTTTAACTTGGAGAACACTATATAACACTATATCATGAAAATTGACTTTGTAATTTTGAATTATTATAGAAAAGTTCAAGAAATGAGAAAAACATGTAAGTTGTTCTTTTTTTAAATTGCTGGCGTTTTCCCTATTTCTTGGATTTTTTAAAATGCTCTGTAAATGATTCTTTTTTTTTTGTATTTTTTTTTGGCAGTTCTTATCAGTAGAAGCGGCAAAGTATTCTGTTATCAGTAAATTACTATAAAGTACTCGATACCTACAGGCATCGATATTTTATGTATCTCTCTAACACTACTTTGACATGACAGCTGATGACGTCACAGGCCAGTAAACAGAATCGTGATTGGTTGTGACGACGACCAATTATAGGACGTTTACTTCGTTGAATAAATTCCTAAAAATATTGCATTTTATTTACGTTATTTTACTAAATCTAAACATGTTTTTTTTGCAGATGTTAAGAAATAAGCTTTATTAGATTATTATCTATCAGGATGACCACAAAATACAACTTATTTTCGATAGTGTCAAATACCCTATTGTAGCATTTTGAGTTTAGGTATTACAGTTGAAATATGTAATGCACATGTCAGATAATGCCTAATCGTAGTCCTAGAAGTGCATACTTTCACATAATACTTCAAACTTGCTCCATATCTGATATATTATTTTTAAGAAATAAAATAATTTTTTGTGAATTAATGAAGATCAAAAAAAATATTAGAATTTTTAAGATTGCTCACAATAACTACCAACGAACCTAGTATGCTCCACATAATACAAAATCGCCGCCAAAGTTACAAAACGGTCTGCGTAGAAACACGTCTACACATACTTGTCTAAAAATGGGAGGTCGCAATCGATTGAATACTGTAGTATCGATTCTTATGAATAATCATTAGTTTTTAATTTTATTATAAATAAACTATTTTCCTCTAAGTAACATCTAATTATATTAGTAATCTAATCTAAGTTTTATAATTTTCATGTATTTATATGTTTAGTAAATAATATAAGATTTGTATCAAATTCGATTAGTCAGAAATAAAATCGATCTTGTTTTCTGACAAGAGAGGGACTTCTCTAGAAATGACATTATTATTAAGATGCATTCAAAAATAACATAATTTAAACTGCGTTCTAAAAAATAAAGACATATTGTAGAGAGGATTATCTTTCTTTTCCCAGCTTTTAAAAATAAATTATTGGTATATAATAATTACATTCAACTTATACTACATCTTGGTACAAGAACTTTTTTTTCGTAGTCCATTTTGACCATTGTTCTTTAAGTTTTTTAATAAGTTAGTCAAAAAGATTGGAATTGACTATTTTTGGTCCATTCATTTCCTGCAAAAATCAACTTTTGGTAGAGTCGAAATATAGTGAGGTACTTTTTAAGTGTTTTATTTTTTTTTTGTTAAAATACTTTCTCATTTAATAATGGTTGTTAATAGTGTCATTATTATTAGTAAATTTTAGGTTCTTATAGATCGATTTTGTATTTATAAACAGCAACAGCAACCATATTACCACACCACGGTATACTCTTCTTGCTTTTTGCCTCTTGTAATAGGGGTTAACGTATGAAATTGGCATTAAACAAAAATCAAAATTGATTATTGTTTAATGCCTTTGCGAAAGAACTCTGAGGATCTAGATTGCACAAACTGAGTGAAAGCATTTTGTTCTGCCTCCTGGGAAGAAATTTCTTGTCACGTAGATAATTGTTCAAATCACGAAAAAAAGTGGTAGTCCGTTGGAAAGGTCTGGTGAATACGGAGGATGACGAATGGTTTCTAACTGTAGTTCCTGAAGGGTCAAAACGGTATCTCGTGCTGTATGAGGTCTCGCGTTGTCATGTAATGTAATGTAATGTAATACTCTTTATTGTACACACCATAAGTTAATGACCAAATATACAGTAATCAAACAAAGTAGTACAATTGGCGGCCTTATTGCTAAAAAGCAATTTCTTCCAGGCAACCTTAACATAGCATACAGGATACAGTTGGAACGATTGGGTAGTCTATGGTGCATTAAGAAGTCTACAGGTAACAAAACATTAAGCAGGAAAATTGTTTATAATACATAAACATACATAGTCACATATATATACATTGATA